GGCGCACGGGCGGCGGACGACGCACGAGGGAAGACGTGCGACGCAAAACGGATGACGACTGACGACGGCGATGACGACGACGACGACGAAGACGACGAAGACGAGGAGGATCCAACGCGCTCTGGGACGCTCTCAGACCTTTCCCGAACGCTCTGCAAGATCTGATCCCGGTCCGAGCCCCGCCCGGCCGACAAGAAGTGTGAGGCGGTGACTGCTGGGAAGTCTTCGCAAGAGCGACTGGGATAAATGGGACTGCGTCGGGTAGGCCCGACGATGCCGGATTAGGCCCGTTTTCGACCACCGATATACCAGCTCCGATGCTGAAATTTAAGCGCCCAGAAGTTGTATCCGAACCTATAGATCAGACATTGTTTCACTCGCGGGGGGCGAGCTTCACTCGCGGGGGCAAGAGCGAGGAGGGCACGGAAGGGCAGCACGGCCGAGCAATCCTAGAGTGATTGCAGGTTGACCGCAGCTCCATTCTGGAGGCGGGCGGTGAAAACTACAATGGATGTCGCATGCATCGTCGAGGGAAACTAGCAATACAAGAGCAAAGATGCTGGAGAGCGGAAAGCTATATAGATATGCAGGAAAGAACTATCAAAAACGCAGAAAACGAGTGGTTGTCTTCCCTTTGGAATCCTAGTCCCGTGAACTGGGCGCGAACCGCTGCGCATTACAAATGTGTTAGCTTAAGGCGCACGACCGTGCCCAAGGCTGCTGCTAAGTGTAAATCCAGGTCCTCCTATTTGTTGGGCGCGACGGTCCCCATATATGTGTGATGTCGTCGTGTCGTTACGATGTCGGCGAGGCATCCTTCTGCCACGTGTAGTGGCCCCGTGGTGTGGCGTGCAATAAAGGTAGTTGCAGGATGTGTATGGTGCAGCTGACGTGCTGCGACGTATACGGCGCAACATCTGCGATGCACTCTATGCGGTGAATTCCAGTTGACCGCATCCGAGCGCGACAACCCCGAATGCTCCTGCAGACATCCCATCCACCCAACCGCAAAGGTGAAGTAATCATACACTGGGCGGCGACAGGGACACTGGTGATGATAATGGTGATGTCATGACGACGGTAGAGACGATGTCGATGACGACGGTGATGCTGATGAAGCTGGTGGTGATGATATTCACGGTGGTAATGATGACAATGACGATGACGATGATGATGATGATGGTTGTGTTGATGATGCTGATTATGATGATGATGATGATGATGATGATGATGATGATGATGATGATGATGATGATGATGATGATGATGATGATGATGATGATAATGATAATGATGATGATGATGATGATGACGACGACGGGAGCTGTGAGGATGCCGAGAACTAACGCGCGAAGAAATATAACGAAGGCGGCGACATCGACGATGACGGCGGTAACGGCGGCAGTGCTGCTGACTACGACGACGGCGATGATAACGATGATGATGGCGATGACGATGGTGGTGATGACCATGATCATAACAACATGAGTGTATCAGCAACGGTAGTATGTCTTGAGAAATGGGTCGGCCCGAATGGCGAAACGGATGTCCGACACAATAGGACAACTAAGCCTGCTATCCTGGATCTTTAAGAGAAGCAGCTTCGACATTGGAAAAGTTCTGTGAACGACATCTCTGAGACCCTGCTAGGTCAATATTGTGCCTGGCACGCCCATGATGTAGCGCGTCCATGAGCAACGGTAAGATGGTCAAACAGATAGTTGCGGAGGATCGATCGGCGAAACGGATGACATACCCGGAAGGATAACCAACTCTTTAAAGCCTGCACTACTTACTCATCCCAAACTCTGTTTCCCTGGAACTCGGGCAATCTGGTAAAGAAAGGCCACGTGGCCCTTGCGTTGGCCAGGAGCACATGCACCGGCGATCTGCGCCGCATGGACGACGGACACTGCTGAACAATTCGGGCCCAGTTGGGCCCGTTAGAGGCGCTGCCCTGGAGCGCGAAACGAGGCCGCCCCGCGCGCGAGCACGCGCCTCGGCCCTGACGCCGACGAGACAATCGAACAGCGTCGAACTCATCAACCTGGCCGCGGGGAAAACGATTGTTTTCGCGGGCAAAAACCCGCCGCGACTTGGAAAACTCGCGGCCCCGGAGACGGAGCCTGCATCGCAGGCGTTCACAAGAAAGCACGAGGAACGCGGGCTCTCGACGGCCCGCGGCAACCCTTCACCCGCGACAGTCTCGGGCGGCGTGCGCAGACACCTTCGCAAGGCGGCAGCCTGGCACTGAGCCCCAGCACTCCCGCGGGCGCGCGAGGCCCCGCCGGATGCGACCCCGACTCCCGGGGGGCGCTGATACTAGCGGCTAGCGCGCGGAGGCCCCATCATTACCGGGGCATCTGACCGGAGCGCATGTCCGAAAGCACGCCGCGGAGGACCTCCGATCTCGAGAGGCCCCTCTTCTCTCCATCACGTCTCAAAAATATCCAACAGGAAAACCGATCATGAAGTACCCGGGGCATATGACTGGAGCGAATGTCTGGAAGCACGCCGTGGAGGACTTCCGATCTCCTCCTTCTCTCCATGACGTAGCAAACATATCCAGCAGGAGAACCGATCGGCTCGGCCGCTCGGCCGCCTGGCCGCCCGCGCCGCAGAAGGAGCCGGCGAGGCAGCGGCCCTCGAGGAAAGGACATCGCCACGGCCCTCTGGATTTATGCTGCTCCCATCGTACTGAAAGACCACATCCCAGAAATGATGTCGAGCACCCGGAAACGTGTCGAAAGAGTGCCGAAAGTGTGTGGAAATTCTCTCTGGCGTTCAAGGCTACAGTAGGTTGGACCATCATAGTTAAATCTGGCTTTGGCTCGCTCTGCGCGCGGGCCCACACGGCCTCGGGGCCGCCCCTCTCGCGCGCACTTCCCCGCGCGACGGCGGCCGCCGAGGGAGCATGGGCCGCGGGGCGCCGTCGGGCTCGCGGGCGCGCCGCGCCCCGCGACCGACCTGCCGCGGCGCCCCTCCCAGCCCCGTTTCGCTCTCACTGGCCAACGGGCCCCGGCCCTTTGAGCAGGCCCAGCTCCGAGTGGCGCCCCTCGTGCGCGTCGAGCTCGCCGAGGCCGGCGACCGCTGCAGCCCGGCGAGAGATCGCCACGCTCTGGCCGCAAATGGAGGCCCGCGGGTTCCGCCCAGCCCCGACGGCGCGGCCCAGCCCGTTTGATCCACTGAGTGCCCTCTGTCACCGACATTTCGCACTCGCCAGTCGCGCGCGGCCGATGCTCCGCCCCTGGACTCGCAAGCCGCCACTAGCCACTAGCGAGCGCTCCGCGGGCGACTCCTGGCCTGGAGTTCTGTTGCTCCCATCGTACTCAAGGACCACATCCCAGAAATAATTTTGAGCACCCAGAGCAATGTAGAAAAAAGTGTCGAACGAATGTCGCCTCCCAGGGCCCGACACGTGAAAACCCTCCAGATTGTTTTTTTTTTGGTGCTCGAAAGTATTTCTGGTGACCAAGGCTGAAATAGGTTGGAACATCATAAGCCTGGAGGGGCTCTGGCATCAGGGCAAGTAACTGGCCCGGCCGCAAGTGGGCGCAGAGGCCCAGCATCACGACGGAGCTCATATGCGACTGCTCCAGCAGCGCCAGGCGCGTGCACCACCCGCTCCAGATGTCCAGCGGCTTGGGACGCCCCGCTCGGGCCAGGCAGAAACCGCGCCACCCGCCAGGCTCGGTCAGCTCGGCGGCAACCGAGGCAATTGCTGGCTGGCATCAGGCTCGCCAGGCCCACGCTCATCTTCCGCAACAAGCAGCGTCGCCCCCCACTGGAGGACCAGGAACATTGCATCGCAGAGGCCGCTTGGCTCCGCGTCGGGGTCGTTCACGTCGCCTGCCTCGAGCTGGCCTGGCCCGCGGCTGGGACCGCGGACGGGGCCCGCGACCCCCTGCAGGCAGCGGCGCGCCGCCCGGGCTGTCACAGCCCGGCCCTCTGGAAACGCTGCGCCAGTCGGCCTTCGCCAGCGCCCCCCGCGCGACGCCGCCTCCAGCGCTGTTCCTGCCACCGCGATAGCACCCGCCCCCGGCCGGCCGCGCGCTCGTTCTTGCCGTCGGACGTGTCGCTCGGGACCGCGGGGGCGGCTTTCTGCCGAGCGGCGCCGGCGTCGGCGGATGCGACGTCCGCCTCCCCCGCGCCCCGGGGCGCTCAACGGAGGCTGCGATGTACGGCGGCGGCGGGGCATCCGTGTCCCGAGCAGCAGACCCCCCAGCGAGCCATCGGCGCGGCAACCGCACGGGACTCGCCCTCGCGAGAATCAGCAGCTGCCACCGCGCCCCGCGGTTCTCCAGGCAACGCCTGACCGGCCTAAAGACCCCCCCGCCCGCCGCCCGCGGAGCATCCGACACGCACTGGAGACAGACCGCGGGCGAGCGGAGGCCTCAGGGACACTCGAATGGCAGCGCTTCGGGGCCAAACGTTTGCGACGCGGCGAGACTCATGGCCACGGATACTCTGACTTCCTTCGGGGTCAGAGTTGGGCTCCGATTCTATGCTGCACGGGTGGCCCTTCCAATGGTATGGAGCGCTGCTTCCCCCCCACCCGCAGGGCCCATCTCTGCGCGGAGGCCCTCCTGGTGCCGAGCGAACAAGCAGAGCGCGCTCGGGGGGGCGACGGGAGGAAAAAGAAAAAGGAGGAAGCAACAAAAACAAGAAACACACGAAGACACACAAAGACACACACACACACACACTTTGCGTCGGCGGCTGGGCAGAGGTTTCTGCTCTGGTGATGTGGCATCAGTGTGGCGCACAAAATGCAATTTGCGCCGCGGTGCGCGCGAGAGTAAGGAAACCCGGCGCGGGCGGTGGGGAGAGGAAGCCGGGCCCACTCAGGCAAGTCCTGGCGGCGGCGAGGCGGGAGCCAACGGCGGCGCTGGGGCAGCAGCTGGGGAGGGGGAGGCAGCCCGAAAACAGCCTGACCCAAAGGGGAAAACACGAGACATGCGAAGCGACTGAGCACTGAGATCTTCTGACCTACCGAGCGA